GATGGGGGTGGGGTTACAACGGGATAGGGGGAGGGAGGGAGGCTGTAAGGGGCCAAAGAAGGCGTTGAATCAGGGGTAAGGGTAAATGTCCCAGAGAGAGGGGGGCGGGGGGGGCTCGGAGCATCTTGTCTGCATAAACATCCAGGAGAGTAGAGAGATAACCGTCCTTGAGAAGGCCGGTTATGTCTGGGAGCCAATGAAGATAGTAGATTGTTTTGGGACAGGGCGACGCTGGACCAAGGTTATTATACGACAGCATGTCTGAGGGGACACAGAGACAGACGACACTGTTTGTGGTGATTCACTGCTGTGTCAATGGACTGCAAATGAGGGCCGGGGGGAGGACAAAAAAACATTACAGCAAAGACTCTGACTGCAGCAAAGTTGACTTAATCATCTGAAAAGGTTAGAATCTGAACTCGGACCATGTGGGATTAACATTCCTTAATGGGCCGACATGAAATTAGTTTAGTGTAGATGTGACAGCCATGTTTGTCCCATCTATTTTCTGGACATTTGAGAAATGTGTCCTTTGCACCAGCAGTACCAGGGACCACTGATGGTTAAAGGATTACTACATTTTCAAAATAAAAGCATATTTTTTAAACTTTTTTCTTATTATTAGCATACTGCTTATTATTTTTAAATATTACCAGATTATATAGAAATGAAGAAAATAAATGGATATGTCTGGATTTCCCTAGGACCATGAAGGCACCACTGCTTATATTCTCCCTCAGATTAACAGTCTATTTATACAAATCTTTAGAGTTATAAAAAACCCCAAACATATTTATATCATGTTTTCACAATGCTTACAACTTGCTACTACCACAGCAGGAGTTAAAACATCATCAGTGGTTATACTGAAGGGCTGATGAGCTGTATGTAACTCTGAAGAGTACAATGTTATTTTAGTTTTCAGCCTAAGTCATTTCTGCCACAATGTCGTTCACTGCCACTTCCGAAAAGAGGTGGATGAAGAAGACCGGGTCCACGACCCTTTCTTCAGAAGGGCAGCCCTTACACTTGATTACCTTCCTCCTGATTGGCTGAGCATCTCCATACAAATTATAATCGCTCTGTTAGAGGGCAGAGCCTGTATGAATCATATCCCACTGCTGCAGAGATCTAATTAACATGTAATACTAACCGGGAGGGGGAAAGATAAAAGCAGGCGCGTGGGAAGAGGAGAGAGGAAGAAAAAAACCCCAACATTTTGTTTGACGTGAGATTATTAAAATTTCAAGGATGTTACCTTGCTCACTATGATTTTCTTTTTTTCTTCCTTCTCATTCATGCTGTATGAGTGTGGCACACATAAGGCATGAAAAGTAATTAGCAAATGGAGAGTAATAACGTTTGTGCCTCAGATGAATTGCTGTCCCTTTGAGAATGTGCTGCAAAAGCTGCTGAGAAAAAGGAAGAAGAACAGCCAAGGCCTTGGCTCAGAGGTGACGGGTTACTACCAGAGAGAGTGTCACACAGTATGATAAATATCTCACACCCGTTATAACTAGATCAATTCAAAGAGACCGGTTTTTCAAAATAATTCCATAAAGTCTGTAGATTTAAAATATTGAGGGGAAAAAAAACAAAAATATTTTTTTTTTTTTCAGATCATACTCAGGAAAACTGCTGGAGTTTTATACAGACTAGATAGTTAGATATGTGGAAAGATAACAGCATTTAAATGTCTCTAAAAAAAAGAAATCATCCTGCCAAGATGCCTGTTCAAATCCTGCAAAATATCCAGAATAGCTTCTATGACTAAGCCAAGTTAGTGATCTGCCAATCACCACCTCTCACCTTAATTTCTTGTGAACACTGAAAATGTGCCGTCCAGAAAAATCTCCTGATTTATTTTCTTAGAAAAGAACTGTAAACTCCAGAAATACGTCTGGGTTCAGTTTTGTAGAGTTGATGTCAAAAAACGGTCCTACTCAGCCCGTGATTGGCTGACAGCCTGTCCAGGTTTCACCGTGCCACTCAACCAATAGTCAGCTAAAATTGGTTCTACTTCTCAAAGAGCGAGCACAATAGATGTGGGCTGGATGGACAGGACCCAATTTAAAGAGAGTGGGAATGTGTCTGCACTCTGTACCTGTGTTAGCTGCTCCAGTCTGTGTTTCATCCTTTTTAGGTCAAGGTCTGTATGACGAACCGTCATCTCTGGATTTTCCCTTTGGGCCTTTAAAGTGCTGCCAACTACACGTCCAGGATAACTACACACAGACAGGAGAAAAGAGAAGGAGGCACACAGTTCAGACACAAACACTCATGTCTGAAAAAAAGAAGAAAAATCACCACAGATGTGGAGTTTTAGATTTGTTTTTTTTTTTTAGTTTAGCCTAATCACTGAGTACGAATGATGCTTCTCTCACACGGATCCTCTTTTTCTTTCAGTTCTGTCCTTCATGGCGCATCACATCATTTTTTTTAATCGATGTGGGTGCGTGTCAGTGTGTTTGCGTGTGTGTGCAGCGGTGGGTGGATCACAGGAAAAAAGAAGTGGGAGAGAAGCATAACAAAAAAGAAACACTCCATGAGTCATATTTCTCCATGCCTCGAAGTTCTAAACCAGCTTTGTCTGCTAATACAACCAGCCATCAAGTCAATTACCACACCCTCAAAACACACAAACAAACCCAGGCTGTGTCAACCAGGGACAGGGATTATGGGAACCAGAAATCAGAGATGCGACTGTTTCAAAGCTTGACTTCACTCATATGAAGAGTTGCTGAGCCGGAGAAGAGTCTGGAACACAGAACCACGTGTTTTTACCCCACTGCCCTGAAATGTTTTTGTTTGATGCCTGCGTTCTCTTTGTACGTGTGTTTTTGACTTTTGCACAAATAAAACATCTTTTAAAACAGAAAAAGCAGGTGTGTGATTCATTAATTGCATATTTTTCAACATTTTCCACATTAATAATTTCATCATTTAGACCAATAACCAAAAAAACAGGTGTTTTTCATGTTGATTAGTCATGAATAATTAAAACAGTGATTAATTATTATCATTATTAACCAATCAATTATGATCATGATTAATTATGAATAGATATACCCAGGATTAATTACGATTAGTTAATTAACCATGATTATTCACAATTATAGTCAAGATCAGATTAAAAACTTGAAATGTCTGACTGCTCTAGTGGATGAAACATCAAATATGTTAGAAAAAGTTAGTGACCACTGCTTCACAGGTCATACACCCTGGCATCACTGTGTGTTTTCTGTTTTGAGGTCATTTCTATACTATTCTCTTAATGTTGACTCTTACGTTTGTATTGAATTTGTTGTTTCAGTCTGATTTGAGACCATGATGTGACCCATCGCTCGCATGAATTGACGGCACGTGGCTGTGTCCCTTCTGTTAGCCAGATTTGGCCAGTGAGCCACCCACAGTACTGTCACACGTCCTAAATATTGACTCATATTTGACCCAAATCTGCATGTTCTTCAGGTTTCAGGCTGGATAATATCCTTCTGACTGTGAGTTGGGCTAACAGGCATTTATTTATGTCCGTCTGCTCAGGTTGACCTTCAGAATCAAATGAAAAACCAGAATCTCATCACATCTCATCACAACATCTTCAAGTCAGCGGCTGCTAAATATATATATATAAATACATATATATATATATATATATATATATATATATATATATATATATATATATATATATATATTGTTTTTAGTATTGCAGTCACATAATGCCTCCTCCTATATCTAACAGTTTAAAGAAGTCAACTTCAGTATGAAGTGCCTTTGACTACAGCGTTAATCAGAACCACACCATGGATCAGCCTCTTCTGACAGAAGCCAGATAATTAATTAAATCAGTGAATGCTACTTGAGACGTGATTAAATTAATTCCATGAATTGCAGCAAGAAATTGCTGTTCGTAGTCATCGACTTTTTCAGTGCTGGACTCCGGAACCAACTGTCCTCCAACTAGTTAACTTTTTCACTTGGTTTATTCCAAAGGGTTCATATACAACTACACTATCATCTAAGGTCAAGATCAAAATTCATGTTCTCCCATGTACAATGTAGTATTTTGAAGTTGTTTAGTCATAACTGTCGACTCCATGTTACCCTACGGTTTAGGGTCGGCCTGTAACATCACCATCACTGCACCTAAAACAGGTTTCTGACTGTCCTGATTGGCACTGTGAGCAACCTTTGCACTTGAGAGGATTATCTAATCACTTAATGTCTTCAAGTGCCGGACAGGCCTTTTACTGGGCTGCACTGAACCAGGCAATCATGAAACTAATGCACTTTGAAAAAGGGGCTGCAGCCCTTTCTCCCATCTGCTGCTGCATCTGAGTGTTTGTTGGACCGTGTCAGTTTAGAGAAGCCTGGACGTTAGCCACGCCGCAGACAACCAGGTGACCACACCTTATAAATCCAGTCTGAGAGTTAAGTCAAAAGCCAGCAAAGACTAATCCACCCGCTTGTCTCTGTGAGACATGAGGTAATATCTTCTAGATCTTGTTAGTCTTTCCACAACAAAAAAGGAAACATTTCAAACACCATCTTCCCTGGAAGCTACTTTTATTGATTCTATAGACGTGTCATTAAATGTCACATGTAAACAGAGTTTTTAATATTGTTCTCGGTCTGCGCCTGGGAACTGAGAGTGGGGCCAATAAAAACAGCACATGCTTGTAAAGGCACGAACACACACACAAGAAGACTGAAGAAGATTGAACTGGATGAACGTGGGGGAAAAAGTGATTCTTAGTGAAACCAGTTTGAATGTCTCTGTGGTGAAATTTGGTCTTTTAACGTATTTATCTGATCTGATATCTATGATATTTGATCTTAATTTCTTCTTCATCTGGACTAAGTTATACAATTTTGTATACCTTTGTATAAGGAAAAGTTAACAATTTATAAAACATCTTTAAAAAAGGCAAGGGGAAAAAAAAGGGAAAACCAATAAAAGGTAATTAAAAAACCACAGAATGCTGCCTGCAGGTGAAAATCTCAAGATCTCACAGAGTTCAGAGTTGCAGCAAAGAGTTCTTGTTTATATCAGCATCAAGATCATACTTTCAAGGAATCTCAGAAACCAAAAACCTGTCAACGAGTAATATATTTACACTGATTCATATTGTGTTTTCTTATCAGTGTTAAAGCCGAGAATATGCTCTCTGCTTTATTAGAAATCATATCAGGAGGTTGGCTGGGTGTCAACCAAACACACACGCACACACACACACACACAGAGACATCTATTGTTTTTGTTATTCTAGTTGACAGCAATGATTCTTCACTTTTTTTTCTTTTTTTTTGATAACGTCTATCACCCTGGTGTTAGTCTGTTTTCCTGTTGTGTCTACTCTGCTGCTGTGAGGTTAATAAGGTCTCAGTTGTATTGTATTGTATTGTATTGTATTGTATTGTATTGTATTGTATTGTATTGTATTGTATTGTATCCTCTTCATCTTGTCTTTTGGTAATATTTCGTGTCCAATAATAATAATAATAATAATAAAAATAATTCTAACATGCATTTCTATAGTATTGTATTGTATTGTTTTTTCCTATTTTATCATGTGTTACTTTTGTATTGTATATATCGTATTGTATTGGCATTATACTGTAATTTATATTGTATGACAGAATGATGGAGAATTAATGTATTCACTCATTTATTTTGGTCAAGTTCAATCAATGGCTATAATCATATAAAATATAATTTGTTATGTTTGTTTTTATAATAAGTAACCTAGTGCTAACTTAGAATTCTGAGCTGAAAGATGATGACAGGATGTCAGAGGAAAAGCCTCCAAAGTGGGATTAATTCACACCCAATAAATATGTTTGAAAGTATGGTGGAAAGTGGAAAGCGCTTTAGCCTTACAGCAAACAGATGAACAGTTTGACACCCAGTGGCCCTGTGGTCCCCCCCCCCCAACCCCCTCCACATCACAGGCCCTGTTGATTTTTGGAATTATTTGGATTGCTGATTAAAAGTTTTAATTTTGCAGATCCCCACGTTACCAAGTAAAACTTTGATATATAACACTGTGAACTTCGGAGTACTGAAGACTAGTACTTGCTGTAATAAAGAGTAATTTCTGCGATTATTTGTTTTGTTTGACTGATAATGACACGGGATTGAACTCTGTCCCTCATTTAAGCTCAAATTCTACGTTACCACACATTTATACGAGATGATTAGTGGGGAAAAAACATTAATGGGTGTGTTGACACAGGCAGGTGTGAATTTCCCTCAGGGGACGCAGGGTTAATAGAGGTAGATATTATCTTAACCGTCACATCTGTTGAATTAGTTTGGTATAAAATAAACATGACACAGAATCAGCTTTAGGTTGAATACATGACAAAATGAATGGAAAGTTTGTGATGAGTCAAGAGTTTGGTGTCGAATTAAAAAAACAACTTGATAAGTTCAGTTGAAGGCTGGGTTTTAAACCCTGACTGATTTGTGGTTTTGTGAGACGTTTGGCTTCAGTGTTTATTGATTGACGGTTCAAGGATGAGGCAAACGGATCATATGAACCCATTTAAATGAGTTGGCAGGATGCAAGATCGATTCTTTCTGTGAGTTTCTTGATTAGCAATGATTAGCATCGCAGATAGAATCTTTATGACCAGCTTAAAAATAATTGCTAAATATGCTAAAAATTCTATGATCATTTTCCTGGGACTGTCTGTTTAACTTGTGAAGCAGGGAAGCAACAGTTTTTTTAATTGCTTAAAAATGTTCTCTTTGATAAAACAGTAATAAAAATAATGAAAAAATTATAAAAAACATTGTTATTTTTCTCTTGTTTTATTGACTACTAGTTGTTAAGTTTGAGTTTGTAGACATATTAATCTTTAGAGAACTTTCTCACTTTATTAGAATTTATTTTCCACCAACTGGTTGAATAAAAACGCTCACATTAATCCAAATTAAGTCAAACTTTACTCCCTGAGTAAGCAGTTTAAATATCTCAACTCCAGTTTGGTCCAAATGTGTTCATTTAAATCTTTAATTGCTGTGAATCTGATTTATGAATGATGAAATTTAAACAGAATCAGCACAAAAGTTTGAGTTCAGCAAAAATCTAATGACCAGGCTGAGAAAGCAGCAGGGCTCCAGTGGAGAACGCCTGCAACCACACTTTAATTACCACGTGGAAAATGCACAACATTTCAGGTTTGACTAAAAGATGCAAATGTGTGGATGAGCTGTGAGAGCAGCAGCTGGAGGTTTGAAGTATCCCTCCCTGTTGTATATACAGTATATATATATATATATGAACCTGTCAGTGCTATAAAGGACTGTCAGACTGATCCACTCTGTTGTAGGACAAGGAACCTAGAACTCACAGAAATCCGTGAATGATGTTTGACAAAAAAAAAGTGTAGAACAACAGTCTGGCAGTAGATGACATATATATGTATATATATATGTATGTATATGTATATCACTGCACTTTACACTTTAGCACCATGACACTCCCTTACATTACATTCTGTTGTAATGTGCTCCGGTTTATTGTGCACTTTAATCTCCTTCTGCTGCTATTTGTGTTATTGCTTTATAGTTTCACGCTGTTTTCCGTGCATTAGCCCGAGGATAGAAACCAGCTACGGCTATAACTCTGCGCATTTGTTTGTAAAATATCCATTAAAATGCATCGTCCCTTTTGCATGAGGATAAAATATATGGAATTAAAAAGGCTTTCTCTCTAGTTACATTGTTTGGGTTCATCCGTTCATCAGAGACAAACTCCACCGTTAGTGGAAGATATCAATTTATCATCTAAAAAAAATTAAATAATGAGTAGTTTTTCTCCCGACTTTGTGATGTGGTGATGGTAGGTGATTAAGAGATAATAAAATGATCTGTTAACAAAACATTAAAAAAAAATGGGTGTGGCAAGTTTTCAGTGCTTTGGAGCAGTTGATGGGATTATTTGCGGTGGCTAGATGTCTCCCCCTTTTGGATAAACTTAGATATTGCTGCTATTAAACGTGAAACAACAAACTACTAAACTGAATTGAAATATCTTAACACCATAAGACGGCTCTGTTTTTATTTTATTTTTTTAATATTTAAAAATTATGAGTAGAGGTATGTATGTGACCTCTATGTCTTACAATATAGCGTAAAAATATATTGTACACATATAAATACATTTGACCAAGTGATGGAAGGTCCTCACTCTCACACCAAGACAGGCATTTTTAAGTGAAGTGGGTCAGAAGGAGGAGGAGATGAATGGGGGGGGGGGGGGGGGGGGGTAGAAAGAAAGGATGGAGAGATGAATGGTGAGGCTGAAATAATGACTGAATGAGAAGAGGGAAGGCTGCGAGTGAGAAGATGTTAAGGAGCTCAGAGGAGCAGCAGAAGGGCCACATTCCAACCAGGCCAACATCTCTGTTAAAAAGACTCCTTCGACTTCCTCTGTCCAAACCAGGCGACAGAACTGACCCTGAGGGTTTGTAAATATTTCGCTTAGAGGTTTCGCTGTTACATTAGGTTCATCTGACACAGACTCACTGATGTGAGGAGTTCAGGTGACGCTCACACTGCAGCGCATGATGAAAGCATAAAAAAACATAAAAGTTTCATTTTATTTAATGGTGATATTTCAAACCTAGTCTTATTTTTGTTCAGAAACTTTATAAATGTTTGTAGAGAATATAAATACTGAGCTAAACTTTATGATGTCAACGTAAAAGACAGCGTACAAATCGTTGTTACAAACTGATGATTTCTTCATTAACAATAATAATAATAAATTATTATTATTATTAATAAAAAATAAATATAATAATATATATGTATTATTGCTAATTATTTTTAATTTAAATTGGAATCATTTAAATTTTATATTTGTTTATATATTATTATCCATGTTATAGATGATTCTCTCTGATATGGTTAGTGATCATTTTGACACTCCAACAAAAAAAAAACATTTTGCCTCACTGTAGCAGCAATTGTTATGTGCACTGTATGTGTATGGGTGTGTGTGTGGGTGTGGGTGTGTGTGTCTGTGTGTGTGTGTGTCTGTGTGTGTGTGTTCATGTAGGATGTCCTTGTTCTTGGCCTGTTTCATATGGCTTCCAGACCATTTATAAAAACCTTATCCATCACTGCTACTGCCACACTGTGATGGATGAACGTCCGTTGTCCGTGTGTGTGTGTGTCAGTGCCTCTATGTGTGCACATGTGTGTGTTTGCCCATTTATCTTGTCACCACTTTAAGCTGCTAATGCAATCACCATGTGAAAAGAGCCGGGAAACGGAATCTCTAGCTTTTCTTCTTGTCAGCTCCCTGTTCTTGGCTATTACTGGTGCACGCACACTCAAACACACCCATCCACACACATATGGAAATGTGCGTGTTTTTAATAATGAAATAATGTAAATGACACTTTTCTCCAAAGCATCTCTGCTTCATTGTGTGTTTTAAATACCTCTCTGCGATGTCCTGGCCGCTCCAGCACGCCTGATGTTCAGCCTCCATCTCACTCTCACACAGCATCTCCGGCAGTTCAGAGAAAAACCACTGGTACCGTTGGATGGAGCCCTCAAAATCTCTGAAGAGTGAAAAAAATTATAAAAAAAATGACCTTTGACAGTGACCTTTGTAAAGTGTAAAAACAGACCACAACCCAAAATTAAATCTGATAAAAAATTAAACATGTTGTTTAATGTAATGTATGTATACATATTATCTTGCTTAAATAATTCAATATTTTTTGTAACAACCATTTTTTCTAGACTACAATATTACACATAATATAAGTAATTTACCTTGAAAGTTTTTTCAAGTTTCGACTTTTGTCACTTTTGGAATCTTTTAATGGGAACAACCTACGTACAGGAAATAAAACACAAAGTAACAAATGCAAATTGTCATTCTCAATGTGACTTCTAACTCAAGTTTGACTCGCCTCCTAGACTGCAGCTGTTGCTGCTGATGAGTAGCAGAGCTCTTCACAGTTGACCTCTCTGACGTTTTTGATGTAGCAGATGATGAAGTTGCATCATGGGAAGTGGTGGGCTTAGGTCTTGTTATTACAGGACCAGCTTCCAGGGGGCCACACACTTTTTCCACCTGAGGAGGAAACACTTTGACTATTACAATACCGTTGAAATTTAATAATAATATACTAATGTTATACTTTTATTTACTCACAATCCATTAATTTGTTTAGTTGAACACAACATTGACGTTTTAATATCTATCTGCTGCCACCTGGTGGACAAGTTTTTTAATAATTCCTGCTACCACTGTGGTAGGGAATTGTGGATTGTGGTTGGGAATCACTGATATAGACAACTATTTTTATTATCCATGTTCTAACTGACACATCTGTTGACTTAAACCAGTCAATGCAGTAACTATCTGGAGAAGGTTTTCAGTTTGATTGGCCTTTAATGATGAGTGTAATGAATGAGAATCTTAATTAAATATTCAGTGAAGTGGATTTTGTGTGTTTATTTACCTCTTAGGAATCTACCCTATTAGGTCCACAGTGTTCTTGGACGGCTTCTCTGCTGTTTCCTCCAATGATGTGTGTATGGGTGTCTATGTGTGTGTGTGTGTATGTGTGTGTGTCATCTATTTGTTCTGAGATTAGCCATAGAAACTTTCTCATCCCTAAAAACTAAGCTGCATTCTGGGTATGGGTTGTCCTGCCAACCGCAGTCTTTGTCTGCTTCTAGATCTGTATTCACACACACAGACACACACGCAGCAGCTGAGGGGGAAACCCAGGACGTTCTGAGGAACGGGGCTGTTTTTAGCCCATTTTGGTTAAAAGCTTTTGTAAGAAAATCCAAATACCAGGCTGAATGGAACCCATCGCCTTCCTCCCTCTGTGTCTACAATTCAAATGACTTTATTATTGAGAAAGAATGTTTCAGGGAAATGTTGGTGGCGCCGCTTTGGTTTTGAGCATTGTGGGGATTTTCAAGCCTTATCTGCCTTTAGTGTTGTCCCTAATTAACAGACGTCAAATAAATAAGAGGGTAGCAAACAAAGTCAATCAGTTAACACGACTGACTGACCTAATATATGTAGGCGTACACACTCCATCTCATGTTGTGTCGGCTCTGTAGCTCAGAACTGCTACATGCATCAATCCTTGCTGCCCTGCTTCAGATTTGTAATGTGGGAACTAATGTAGAACTAATTGGTACTGCTGTTGTACTACTGCCAGTCTGTGTAACTCGGGGTCCAGTTTGTGGCCCTACCAGAAATGCAGGAAAAGGTTTTGTTGCTAACTGCAAAAACATGTGTAACTCCATAAAGTGGACAATGACTACAGACAAAGATATTACTTTTAAAAAAGCCCAAGAAAGATCACCATAATAATATAAATGATTATGAAAGAATAGGTAGCTCAACATTTTAACCCACAGTTACCGTCTTGTTAGACTTTTGCCTGAACCCTCTTCAAAGTTCCTTCTGCTTACTGTGGCTGTGATGCGCGTCCCGTGAAGCTGAGCGTGCAGTATGGCATCATTCACTTGGTTTCGGATCGCTAACAGAGCCAACTCCATGCTGTTGTGGTTGCTGCTTGTTGCTAAAGTGGCGGCTAACTGTTGTAGCATGACCACCAAACGCCTCCAGGGAACATCGAGTTCTGATACCCCGACCTGAATCGGAAAAAGACAGGAAAATTAGCTGGGTTAAGTTTCCAGAGGTAAAATTCATAGAGCAGAGTTGGCAAAACAGTGTCCTGTGGGTCACATGTGGTCCGCAAAATCAATTTAATGTGGTCTTCTGATTTAATCAGGTTACAGCACAATCAGCCTGACAGCTCTTTGTTTGTTACATCACTCTTCATGACTGGGCTAGAAAGGATGGAAACACAGGAGGCAACTGTCTGTAGACTGTATTGAATTGGTTTCATCAGGATTGTTGAATTTACACACAAGAGGCTAAATATAGCCAGTGATGCCTTCACTGTCCTAGGAAAGAGTTAAACTGGGGAATGCTATTTCCCAACTAAGTTTGTCACTAGTTGCGTGAATGCAAATTAGTTACACAGTACACTTTGAGGGACTTGGGCAACTAAATTTTTTTAAAAGTTAAGCTAACTTTAGTTTCAGTTAGCTTTCCCATTTTACTTTGACATCCCAGAATAATAAGAGCACAAACAACTTACCAGACATCCTCTCATCACATTAATACAAAGTCCATTACAGGGCCGTATCAATGTCAGCCCCCTGCAGTGAGAACAGTACTGCATCCTGACCAGTCCTCGTCCACACTCTCTTGATATCGCTGCCTTTTGGGTTACATTCACAACCTCGCTGGCCAATTGAAGCAGTCGGCTCAGTGCTCGCCCTACTCCAAGTGCACGGGACAAGCTGCTGACCAGAAGGCGAGGATGGGGTCCAAATGGACTGACATCCTGTCGTGTCATTTGCAGGCAATCGTCATGTCCATTAGAAATAGGGGAGTGAGAGTGGAGGGCCACGGGGCCGAAACCCGGGTTGAGGAGCCTTCGATAAACTAAAGGGAAGAGGCTGTCGTAGAACTGACGCACAGTGTTTTCCAGTGAGGAATGTGGGTCTCCAGAAAGATGTCGTTTGATGTCACTGAACAGCTGGAACACCAGGGGGCGACAGTCAGAAGCCAACGCAGAGTAAGCGCTGTCGAACAGGGAGCTGGTCAGGTTGGATGTGAAAAATATGAGTGAGTCAAATGTCTCTGAAACAAAGATGACAAAACAAAGAGATTTTGTCACCAATTAGTTTTAAACAGTCTACAAATATGCTAGGATTCATGCAAAGATTGTAGCGCATTCATTGCACAGTGAATACACTACAGATTGTAAAATTCTTCTGCATAATCGGAACTCATCCTGTAGTCGACAACATTTAAAGAGCGAAAATAACTCACAACACAATTTACTGCTGTGCTTCTTCCCTGTTATCTTTATCCAGGTGATAACGAGGGGCCCAATCCCATGATGCACTGGGTTTCCTCTGAGTGACTAACAAAGTATGTTGGCAACAAAGTCGGCAGTGTAAGTTCAAGTCCCTTGATGAAGGCAGTGAGGATCTGAGTTCAAACTTCAGCAAAAAAAAACCAGTGATGTCAATTCACTGGCATCCAAACATACACAAGGACACAGACCTTGTGTATGTGTGTGTGCGTGTGTGTGTGTTCAAATCAACTCTGTATTTCATCGTCACAGCTGCAGCCACTTGACTTTCCACCTAAGAGCTATTTATTAGGCAAGTGATTAAACAGCTCACATGTGCCTCCCTGTACCTAATGAGGAAATCTTTATCTGAGCAAAGAGCAAAAAAACAGACACAAAAATTCCATGTCTGAGCTGATTTATGCCATTGTGAGTGTGTGTGTTTAAGTCTGGATGTTTGAGGAGTGTGGTTTTCAGTGGAGCTCTATTGGGTCTCTTCAAACTAATGTGTTGAGTGACTTTTATGTGTTTGCATACCCATGTCCTGGCAATGGCAACTCAAACAGCATCAAGTGACAAGGCAAAGTCCACCTTGGGGTCATGTGATTGGTGCGTCACCACTATGTGATGGGGCAACAGCTGCAACGTGAAGAAGAGTGCACCCCAGGGTCTCACAGCGCCAAGAGAAACACAAGATCACACACACATACACACACACACACATATATAAACACAGCACAAAGCACAAACTGTGAAATGAGTCTGACTACAAGCGCTCTGGGCATGTTAGGTTTATTTAGTAAATAATAATCACTGCTCTGATGTTAGTGTCAGCTGTTGAGGAACAGATTTGTGTCATGAAAAAGTTAATTCTTCTTTGTAACAGAGGGTATTTTCTCTCTTTGTACTACATATACTGCACATGTTGTATCTGTTATAAAAAATACTGCCAGTTCAAATCCCAGCCACCGGGATGGCCAAAAACAACCCTGTTTTCTAGGCTGAAAACGTTCTGCCAGTATTACCAGTATGCCCGGTGTCAGCCCCACATCTAACAGAATCGGGCTTGTAATTGGAGGATTGCAGGTTCAAATCCCTTCTGGCTGGAAGTTGTCCTGGAGGTCCTGGAAGAGCCAACTGCTCCCAAAGGATCACAAATTCAGTTGTAAATTTAGGTGTATGTTTCCATGCTATTATCAGTAATGTCAATAATGTTAGTTATCTACTTTAAATGCAGTCCTGCATGTCGTGTGTTTGTACAATGACAAATAAGCATTGGCTTCTAAAGATCTAAAATACACTGGAGATTCTTTTTCCTGTATAAGAGGGACTAATAGAATTGTTTTTACCCCGGACGTTGCACCACAAACCACTCAAATTTAACAAGCTAAAAATACAGCAAAAAAGAACCACTAGCATTGTTCAAACAAAACAAAAGAAATGAAACAATAAAGAAGCCACAATTTCACCAAAATCACTGGGAAGCAGTGATTATATATACATAACATTAGCAAAAGAGCTAAAACAGCTAAGGCTAGTGCTAAGGTGGCTACAAGAGCTTGTAAATATGCTCAGAAGAAGATGTCCTCAAAATATCATAACATCTGTACAGTAAAAGCAACATTAGGAGCATTCAGCACAGACCATCAGTGAACGACTAACTTTATATTGTAGGTTGATGCAGATATATATATATATATGTCTCTTTACTCTCAAACGACTAACTTTATATTATATAGATATATATATATATGTCTCTTTACTCTCTCTGTTGTCCGCCCTAAACAGTCTCTCTTTGTATATAAATGTGCATTAATTTCACCCATGACTGGTCAAACCATAGTCTGAGCATAAATAACGGACGATCAGAGTCTGGGAGCATGGGGATGGAGAAGACCCTGGGAGGCAGAAGAGGAAGAGTGAGGGGCAAATGTTTGCTTTGTCTGTCCGCTGGGTCTCATCAGCTCTATCCATTTTTCTCATCTCCAGTCAACATGAGAACACACACACAGACACACAATGTCTCCATGTCTGTGTAACACACACATGCTCCCACAGACCACTGAATAGCGTGGAGAGACAAGTGGACAAGCAGAGTATTCTTCATCCTATTCACAGCAGGCCATTAGAGGCCGGCTGTTGCCCACGGCAACAACACTTTTCTGCGGATACGAAGTGAATGTAAACATTCCCCGTCCCTCTCGCTCTCATCGGTCAAGAACAAAACCTGATTATTGTGGTGACAGAGACGGACGGACGGAGAAAGAGAGCAGAGAGATGTAACAAAGTTTTCTGCTGCGCCCTCTGAGAGTTTGCTCTCACACTCAAATCGAACATCACTTGTTTGTTTGGCCAGCCACCACGGCGCCTCACAAAATAAAACGGCCTCACACAATTTGACTGACACAAATGAGACATTTGCTGATAAACACACAGAGTGAGAGTGACACTGCACTTAACAGAACAGTTAAATCATCAACACCGCTATTAAAGTCACTGGGATTTTGACCCCAGCACGACCCCGGGAAATCAGCCTCTTGTAGTAACACACAAAAGTGAAAACTGTTGTTTTAAAGCAATTTACGTACAGATCATAAAAGAGGGGATCTGACCAGCATTCAAGCAAAACTTATATTTGTCATTCTTGTCATATGGATACCATTCAGGGAAATCAATTGTGATAATGTTAGACTTTGTCAAAAGTGTTTTACTCCTGGTGAAATAAGGGCTTACTAAGCTCAAAAAACACAGGGAACTGTCACATCAGAATCTCTCATGTGTTCTGACCTGTAAAGTTGGGTTTTAACACAAAACATGTGGTGATGATCAAAACAGAGATGCATCAGTGCGATTCCTGAGAGTTTCCATTCTACATTCACCACATAGGCCTGGCACTTGGTGCTGATTTTGTATATCCTATCACAATGTATTTGGTGCACGTTAAGTTTAAAAAAATGTTATGTTATGCTAAAGTAACCACAGCATGGATTTATATGAATATGAATTTTTATATTTCTGTGTTTATCAGGTAGTTCAGTATAAAGTGTCATGAGAAGGACCCACACATGTCAAGCTCTCCTTCCTACCTTGATAGGCCTTGATGTGTCCAGCGATCAGGTACTTGAGCTCAAAGCTGTAAGACTGTATCTTCTGCTGCGTCTCACCGCGAACAGCCGCCATGTAGCTCTCCTCCATTTTACTGGTGCAGCAAGTGGGCCCCGGGTGCAAACACACTCGGAGAGACTCATCTGAAAAGGCAGACAAAAATAAAACTTCATTTCTGTTCATTCTGTTCATCTTCCTCGTAATCCCTCTAACCCGAGAGTCATAATGTCAATGGAACCATATTCAAACATGACCTGATCAAAATTGATTTAATGAATGGTTTGAGATGCTTTCTGTTAGTCTGTACGTTTTTTTTTGTAAGTTTTGAACTTGATTATTTTTTATCAATTCATTTCACAATCTCAAATTTAAAAAGCATCAGAACTATTGGACAATAGAGAAATATTTTTCCAGACAGTCTGGTTCGACCTGATATGAAATCAACCAGACATTTACGAGGTGAAACCTCACTATTCACACCTCCCGTTGGTGTGTGTGTGTGTGTGTGTGTGTGCACGTTAGGCTATCTTTGGACAAACGTTGTAAGCCAACCTACAAAACAGCTGTCTCAGATAAAGGGAGAGCATGAGAAGGATGAGAGAAAAGGACTGACACCTATGTCAGAGCTGGAACACACACACACTGACACACACACCTGTGTTAAACCTCCAGCTATTTTTATGACCACTGACTGACCATGGACAACATAACTGACATTGCTGACATCGTCACTCTGTGTGTGTGACTGATTGTCATGATGTCAAACCCAGGACAGGAAATAAAACATTGAGTATCATTGTCCTTGAGAGCAATATTTGAAGATAACTCCTTGTTAAACCTGTCAACTTAACTTTAACAGCAGGTTACACTCATGGAAGAGGAAAATCGAATAGTCCTATAACATCTGTACGTAACGTGTGCTGCAAGATACAATCGTGTATCTATTGAAAAGAAGAGATATAACCGTTGACTTTCATTTCTCGAAGCTTAGTATATCATGTATTATGTTGTAGAATTTTTACACATTTTTTTCACTTTTCGTGTTGGCATTAGATATGTATTATTTGTCTCTTTTCTGAATATTTATATAATCTAAAATCAAGTTGTTATTGGTTTAACCTGTTTTTATGATTGTTTTGAATTGGTTTTCTTTTCAACGTAATATTCAGTGCTTTATCGATGAAAAAAGTCGACTTCCAAACATTCTCCATTGCATTGTGATAAATACATTTAAGACACTTATTTTAGAATAATTCATCGATCTGTCGGGCAATATTTCAGGTATAAATTGATTGTAAGAATTTCGAGGAAAAAAATGTTACTAAACTTTACCAAATACTTGTACCTAATACATTTATCTCCCAGTTACCGGTTGTAAAGCCAGTCACTGACCTGTTCTTGGTTTGTCCGGCACCAGCTCCACTGGACCTATCTGGCGCATCATGTACGCAGTCTTCACCTCATGACAGCTGCCCCCGTCGGCCGATGCATAGCCGTTATCCGGTGCAACAAGCAGGTGCAGTAAAATCAGCCAAAACAAATCCACGTGTCGTGAGGCTGTACGGAACATCGCAACATGTCAAAGGTGAGTGATAAAGTTATAAAGAGTGTGAGACTGTACGGAGCACAGAGACCGAGAACTCCATCTGAGGTGGCTCCCTCTCTCTCTCTCTCTCTCTCTCTCTCTCTCTCTCTCGTTGGGGTATCCAATAAGGTATGTAGAGCCCAATCAGGGGATTTTAACAACTTTAATTACACTTCTGAAACTGTTGAGCTACCTTTTAGTGCCGTTTCTTTATTTGTTGTGGTTAGCTAGCGCTTGTTTTTAATTGATGGTAAGATGTAAAGAAATGTCGCTCAATATGTAAATTACATCAAATGAATCCGTTCAATCAACACTAATTGGCAACAGGATGGCGATGTGTTTCATCAACAGAATCTACAGGGGCTGCATTCTCTGTCTGTTTTTGTGATTCTTTTGTGCAAGTATGGATGCTTCTAATGAGATTTAAGATTAAGATTTGGAGAGGAGAACGTTTGTGAACAGTTTCAACGGTTGCTGATTTTTTTATATGTTAACATATTGCACAAACATTGTATAAACCGTCTGACAGTAATTAATCAGAAATAAGTGAGCAAGAAACAAAAATCAAACGCATTTAAAAGGAATTTTAAACAAAAAGGACGGAATTGGAAAACGCAACTATGAAATGAGTCTGTTCTCCACAGTTAAACATTGGCGCCATCCGTTGGATTAGTTGGGTATTGGTAGATACTTTTTTCACTCCGTGCCCTCACGCACAGTTTTGTATTATTTATTAATATAAATTGAGGCCATTGATTAATATAGTGAGAATAATTCCATTGTGTGCGTAAAAGTGACTGCAATTATTGTCTCTATGCTTGCACTATAATTTAATTTTATCATGTATTTCAGCTGCGGAATACCTAAGTGTATTATAACATACTAATCAGTTAAAGCTGCTAATGCTTTTGTATATTTTATAAACAGTGTAATGTAATAATTATTTTATAATGTAAGTATGCTGGAATTACTGCTTTTATTTTGTCAATGGCATGTTGGATTCCACTCTCATCTGTCACCTAGATATGAGAATCGATGAAGGCCATGTGATCTAATATTATTCAAACCAAAATGAACTTTTTTTTAATGTATAATCGGATTTTCAACTGTAGAAAGATGATATAACAAAATACTGCCCCGTGTGAGGCTCGAACTCACGACCTTCAGATTATGAGACTGACGCGCTGCCTACTGCGCCAACGAGGCCTGACATCATCTGTTATTTTGCCAGTTTTGAATGGATTTCGATGACATATATTCGTTCATTGATTTCTTTGTTTCTTATATTCACATGGTTGACGGTTGGTACAATTTTGACATAACACGTTTCCTGTTTACAGCTTTACCTGGTGGGGGTTTTTTTTGCTCTTTTTCGACGTTACATGCGTCTGCTCTTATTCAGTGCTGTGGGCCCTTTAAATCCAATCTCCCGCGTTCACGATGAGGCGGAAACAGTAACCCCTCTTTTCTCTATTTAAGCGCGCCAACAAAGACGCGTTGTAGGCTGGTTCATTTAAGAAACAACACAAAGACTATTCCCCGTCTTTCCAGTGGCTATATCCGTCTGTCTTCCAGTCAGTATGCCGGAGGAAACGTCCACCTCCACTTCTGAGAGGTAAAGAGTCTGCCCTATGTTTTACCGCTGTCAATCCTAAAGCGAACGGAAACACAGCGAATTAGCCCTTAGCTTTGCTGCTAGCGTAGACGACAGGCCAAACACAGCGAATTAGCCATTAGCTTTGCTGCTAGCGTAGACGACAGTGTGTATTTTGTATGCTAGTAATTTGATATTTTTGTTGTGAAGAAGGTTCCGTTGGTCAGAGTGGCTTTCTGGTGCAGCTGTGTTAACGCCGCTTGAAAAGTAACGAAAATGTAAACATTGGGTAGAGCCATGCTAACAACCACAGTGAGCTAATAACAAAGCGATGAGGCTAACGTCGCTCTTAAAACTCAATCAGCCGAGCAATCAGTAACTCAAGTGTATGTTTGCTGTACTTGTGCTTACGTTTGATTTGGCTATTCATTGACGTGTCAGTGGTTTATTTTTAAATTTGACTTAGTTCTCGAACTTTTCCAGTGTGGAGGAGAAGCCGTGCTCATCAACCGCAGCTGCTGCAGCAGCCTCGGACGGGTGAGTGATCAGAGGCAACACTATTCGTCATTGTACGTGCCTCATTGAGCCAAAGTTTTGCTTTTTTTTGTTTTGTTTTTTTTTTTGTTTTTTTTTGTTTGTTTTTTTTTTTGTTTTTTTTTGTTTGTTTTTTTTTTTGTTTTTTTTTGTTTGTTTTTTTTTTTGTTTTTTTTTGTTTGTTTTTTTTTTTGTTTTTTTGTGTGCCATGCTATTTCCATTCCTATTTCCATTCAATTGAAATTCAAAACATTGCCAATGAGAAATGCGCACATGTCAAGCGTAAAACAAACCTACATGACTTGAAACTATAGTTTGCTGTTGGCAAATTCCTGAACTTTGTTCTTTGGACAACCTTTCTTTGTTCTCTCCTCAGTTCTACATTTATTGACGACTTGTTGATTTTATTCTTCTAGTGCTGACGTTATGGAAGAGGCAAAAAAACTGATTGGCACTGGGAAAAGACATCTGGTGATGGGAGATGTTGTGTCTGCTGTCAATGTTTTCCAAGAAGCCTGTGGCATGCTGTGAGTATTTAAGTGCTACGACAGAAAATTACGACAAAAAACAAAAAGTTAATGGTAAATGTTAATTTGTTTTATTTTACTTTTTTCAGGGCTGCAGCGTATGGAGACACTGCAGACGAGTGTGGTGAGGCATTTTTTCTCTGTGGGAAAGCCCTACTGGAGCTGGCCAGGTCAGTGACCTCAAATGGTCTCCAGGCTATTATTGTTTTATATAAAAATAATACCGTGTCCCCATTGGAACTTCTACATTAATTTTTTTTTTTAAAGCCACCAATGCTGTTTAAACAAAACTTTTCTCTCTTGCTGTGTTACTTTAGGATGGAAAACAGTGTCCTTGGTAATGCACTAGATGGAGTTCCTGAAGAATCAGAAGAGGAAGAACAACCCCCCAACTCGAATATTGAGAGTGCCTCCAACCTTGATGGTAATGATTTCTGAAAGGGTCCCCAACTTTAAAACTTCATTATAACTCCAGTAGTTTGATATCATGCCCCTGATATCTCAGTCACTCTCGTCAGTCTGCACACCACAACTCCCATTATTTATACTGGACAAATGTAACAATTGCAAACATTTTTTTTCCTGCCACTAATGTGCAGAAAAGACTAGAGATGAGCTACGACAGCAAGTGTATGACGCAATGGCAGAGCAGGAAAAGCCTAAATCAGCTGATGCAAAAATGGAGTCAGCAGATCCAAAGTCCACAGAAAACACTGTGGCCAAGTCACCGATGAAAGGCATGAATGGATCGGAGAAGGTCTCTGAATCCCCTGTGAAAGGCGAAACTGAAGCTGCTGAGAAACCAGCTGCCTCTGTGAATAATGGGATGTCTGCTGCTAGTGGGTCACCTGCTAAAGTAACTGTGGCTGAAAAAGAGCAGAATGGAGAGGCAGAAAAGGAGGAGAAATCCAAGGAAGACGGTGAACAGGAAGAACCAGAGGGCAGTACTTGTGTGAATACAGAGAACAGTGGTGTTGATGGGTGAACCACAGGGTTGGTGTGAGTGTAACCAGATTCAAAAGGTTTTTAGAAGGTGATGGGAGCACAGTGGTGAAAAAACATCACTTTGTTTCATCTTTGTTTCCTTTGGTTCACAGGTTCAAAGTTTCTGTCACCCAGTGTTAATAAGATTAACATGATCCACTGTTAAATTTGCAACTATATTTAGGTTAATCAGCACAAACTAACTAAAAGTTAACTTCTGATGTTGGTTTCTTTTGGAAATGGCTCTATGCTGCTCTGTGAAATTATTTTTAAAACATTTTTAATAGATGATGATGATGATGATGAGGATGACGACGACGATGAGGATGAAGATGGCGAGAAAAATGGGCAAGAGAAAGTGAGTTCCTCTATCTGCACATTCATTGTAACTGAGCTGTTCAGTTTGTAACCTGTACTTTTTTTTTTTTTTTTTTTTTTGGTCCTCTCAGGAAGAGGAAGTTGGCAATTTGCAGTTGGCTTGGGAGATGCTGGAAGTGGCTAAAGTCATCTATAAAAGGTAAACATGATGACAAGTTCAATGTTGGCTGATTGACAGTGGTAACAATGAGGATTTTACAGTTGTATTTTGTTACTTCCTTTAGGAGAGAAGACAAAGATGAACAGCTAATGGCAGCCCAAGCATATCTCAAACTGGGAGAAGTCAGTGCTGAGTCAGGTAGGTGATGAGGCATGGATTTCAGCATGAAAGACTGTGACCAGTTACACGTCAAAGTAAAATCCAAACTAGGGCTGTGGAAATTAGGCCTTAATTTTGTTTATTGTTAAAGATTATTTTAACGCATGGGTAGAATGACTAACACTGTACCTCTGTCCAGGTAACTACCCACAGGCCCTGGAAGACTTCCAGGAGTGTCTTGCCCTGCAGCTGAAGCACTTGCCCCCCCACAGTCGCCTGCTGGCGGAGACTCACTACCACGTGGCCACCACGCTGTGCTACATGGACCAGTACAACCAGGCCATTCAGCACTACAACAGCTCCATCAAAGTCATCGAGACTCGTCTGGGTGAGACCTTTGAGGATGTTGTCTGAGCAGGCCTCCTCCAAACTTTTTTTTTTTTTTTTTTTTCCTCCCCCCTTCTGAATGTTACATTTGTTGACACATTTATTTGTACTGCTTGCTAACTTATTTCAGCTGTATTTGCTAAGTGGAACCTACAACGTCAATTCCTTTTATAACAATTATTATTGAAACCTAAAGCCTGGTGTAAGGAAGCAGAAGTGAAGTATTAGTTTGTGTCCAGCCATGTTGCAGGAGGTGATAGATGCAGCGGAGGGAGCAGATGGAGCGGCAGAAGACAAATGTGAGATGGAGGAGTTGAACCAGCTTTTGCCCGAAATCAAGGAGAAAGTAGAAGATGCTAAGGAGAGTCAGAGGACGGCCAGCACGGCCTCCCAGGCCATTCTGCAGACACTAGTGAGTCCAGTCCAGCTGGGCTGTTCAGATATGACCTGTGTTCTGGTCACTTTCAGCGGGAACATTTTAATTTTGGATTTGTTTAAGTAAATTTGTCTTTTTGACATTATTAGGGTGGCGGTGCCTCCACCTCATCAGCATTCCAGTGTGAAAATGGAGGGGCGTCGTCTTCATCAGCGTTTCCTGCACCCAGTCTGGTGAGACCCCACTACCACTGAGTTTTGCTCACAACATAACTCCCATCACTCACAATTTAATGTGATTTCTGTTGATTCAGATCCCAGTAAAATCCTCTGACATCACGTCACCGCCCAAAGCAGTCTCTGATATTTCACACCTCGTCAGGAAAAAGGTAAGACCCTGCCTCGACTGAAGACGAAGTCCTGACCAATATCGATGATTTGGAGCTTGAGTTTCTATCCCCCCCCCCCCCTTTTTTTTTTTTTTTTTTTTTTTTTTTTTTTTTGATGAAACGGCAATAACATGATGATCTCTGGGGTCTAATCTGTAGAGGTTGTGGTGGCTGTTGTATCGTGGCTGTAGTGTAGCTGTGATGTGTGTTTTGTGGTTGAGCTCCATGTCTGTGCAGAGGCTTTTTTATTCTGGGCTAATTGTTGTTCTGCATGACCTGTTTGATTACTTGAATTTGATGGCGGCGGGCGGTCAAATACGCTTCTGAAAAAATATCCTCAGTCATCTTTTTTTACCTCTTCCACCCTACCCCCCTTGTCCTGCTCTTGTGTTTCTACGCAGAGGAAACCAGAAGAGGAGCAGAGCCCAGTAAAGGAAACTGATGCTAAACAGGCCAAACAGGAAGCCACACTTAATGGCAGCGGTGACTCCACTGCCCGCAACGGCAATGGAGTTCAAGAGGGAGAGTCACAGGAGGCGAGTGATAGGGTTTATTCGACATGATCTTGTCCAGAGGGGGTGACATTTGTTAGCTTTTTCTGGTCTGCTTTAGGGAGAAGTTGGAATGAATCCCGTGGTCCTTTGATCAAACATGATTCTCTCCTGACGGTTGTAGTTTGGTTTTTTACACTGCATTTAGGCTGGTGATGTAGCATCAGCTGCTACTGTGGTTGACCTTATGTGAACTGTAAGGTCTCTAAGGTAAACCTTGGGAAAAATGCAAAAAACGAGGAGTTTTTCAGGTTCCACTCCGTTGCATCCACATCTGGCAACCTGCGTTCCAAAGATGCAGTAGCTGAACCCACTCCCTCAAATTGTGTTATTTCATTCTACGTTTCTGATCAAAACCCACTTGTTTCTTCCTGCAGCCTGCCAACCAGTCGGCCTCTGTCCAGTCTTCAGCGTGACGGCCCACATGTGTTTGATCTCTGAAAACCAGCACATGACCTGCTCCAACTTCAGCAGTTTTTTTTTTCCTCTCTCTCCTGTAAATAATTCATTTTCACAAGATTTGTCTGTTCACTTTTTGTATACTTGAAGTAAAAAAAAAAAAAATAAATAAACGATTTGCATATCTGAAGTTTTGTCATGTCTTTATGCTTTAAAGCACAGTAGTAACTTCAGGCCTAAAATAACTTTTTTTATTTTTTATTTTTTTTTCTTTTCTCAAATATCCTCTTTGTCATTGACTGTATAATGCTATTTTCTTCTATTGTGTGCAGCTGAACCTTTGTGATATACACCTTAAAGTTTCAGGAGAGCACCATGCCCCTTTAGGGGCTCTGTATAAACAGTTTTGTTAGAAATCTTTGTATTAAAAAAAGAAAAATGACTAACAGCAGAAATATGCTCAGCTTCTTGGTACTATTCTCTGCAGGGACACCAGGTCCTCCGGGTTAGTTCCTCAGAGGGAAACTTCTCGCATCCAGTTTTTCCCCTCCAAGAATTTCTTCTGTTTTTGGCAGAGGAAAAAAAATAGAATCTGTCTATTTACTTTAAAAAAACAAACTGAGCAGGTTAAACATTAACATTTATGATGCATTATAATATATACTGACCTCTGTTGGTTTTTATGTAGACTACAATCTACATGTTGCCCAAAACTAAATGAACTGAAGAAATTGAGCTTCTATAGTTTGAAGAAAGGTTTGACAGAAGCTTCACTAATTATACTGAGACAGCAGGTGGCGTATGCTTTAATATGCAGTTCAAAAAAGTCAATGTTAGAAAAGCAGAAAAAATATTTTAATGAAGAAAGATGTGGAAATATTGGAATTTGAATGAACACATTGACTCGCTCCAAATTATTTCATGTTGCATAACTTAACTTTTTCCTTCATTTTTCATCAAGTACACCTGGTGGTTTTTAGATGTCATTTATCCAAAGAAGCCATACAAAATGAAATAAATCCCACAGAAGGCTGCTGCTGATGATAATGTTCCAGGTGAGAGCTAACATATTCAGCATCCATCAAAACCTTTAACAGAGGGACAGAGAAAGATATCGAGTCAGAGAGTGGAGAACTTGAACTCTCTCTCCCACATCTCCCTCCTCCTCTGCTGCACATACTCACACTCACACTTGCCAGTCTGTTGCTAGGCAACTGTAAAATAAAGCAGCAGATTCTGAAGTCATAGAGAGAGAGCGAGAGAGAGAAAAAGGGAGCGAGAGGAAGAGAGCGGGCTACAGAGAGAGAGAGGGGGAGTTCACAAGTACTGCAATCCAGTACTGTTCGCTCGGCTCAGTGCGTGATCCCACCACAGCTCTCGGTACCCATCTGTGGATCTGCCAGGACTTGTGACTTTGGGTTCCCTCTCAGGCAGCCAATCGGCAAGGGCTTGGGGGGCGGACCCAGCTGTTCCCTTGGTTACCTGTGTGATTGACGTACAGCCTCCTGCAGCTGAGTATCACTGATGCTCCTGATGCTCCAGCCTCAGTGTGTAGAAATCCAGAGGAGAGGACAGAGGAGACGGGAGCCACAGGAATGCTAACCATCTAGAGTCCTTCCTGCTCTCTTCCTTTTGAGCCCTTTACTGTGTAGCGATGGAAGCAGGAGCGCTGAAAAAAGCCGGCTAGTGAGGGAGGATAGGAGAGGGGAGCAGAGGAGAGGAGAGGAGAGGAGACGGAGGATTCCTGAAGAGGAGGAAATTGTTGGTAAGAGAGCTTTGAATCACTTTTCTGCTGCCTCTCTTGGCTTTGGACACCAGCACTGAAGAACACAGCAGAGACATTCCTCTGGTCTCTCTGTGTGTGTGTGTGTGGGACAGTGAGACAGTGAGACAGATTCTCTGCATGCTGCGTGGCTGTTACAGTATAAAACCCTTACTTTACTCCAGCTGCAGCTTTTACAGTATCATCTATGCAGTGGCTGTAGCTAAGTACCGGTACCGGTTCCCAGAGGCCGGACTGATGGATGTCTGTATGTGAACAGTGTCACTCACTCAGGGCTACAGTAACAGCTGAGGCCAGCTAGGGTTTTTCCAGGCTGGACTACTGTATCTGCATGGGAGGAGGAGAATTAATTACATAACACTCCATCTCTCTACTCCATCATTCTCCTCCAACAGTTGGCAGACCCCCCCCCCAGTGGTACTGTGGAGACTGTATGTTGGACAGTGTAAATGTCAGTCTTCATGTGAAAGACAATGAGCTCAGTGTTAGGCTTGTCTCCACCTAGTTGTCATGGACAGATGTGTCCTTTCTGACATGGTCACGTTTAATGTAAAGACCCCCAAACGTTCCTGGGCCTGGACCCTCCGGGACACTAGGAGTCCCCCTTAGATCAGCACATGTGACCTCAGCTCAGATGACACCTGGGTTCCTCAGGACTTTGTTAACAACCGTCAGGGACTTTGTTTGCAGTCTTTTTTCATTATCTGGTTTTATCGTCAGCAGTTCTTGGCAGCCCCACCTGTAGATGCTGGGGTTTGGGCGGTGGGCGAGTGGGTTCTTTCTTCCTGGTTATGGGATTTTTATTTTTACTCCCATTTCTAAAAATATCCAGTGACACAGAGAGTGTGATGGTGAGGCCACAGTGTGGTGACATGAAAGATCTTTTCAGTGTTGAGTTCATGGCTCACGATCTCCTCACTGTCAGGTAGAAAAGCTCCAGATACATAATGGAAGAGTCTTTTTACGCTTCAGTGAATTCATAAATGCTGCAGGACGAGGACTTTACCTGTCGCAGAGTCAGAGGGTCCGGTCAGTGTCATGGCGTTTTAACTCCAGGGGTTTGGATTGTACATCTGGAAACATTCAGGACAAAATTTAACTGGCACTTAAGACCAGAGGGTCAAAAATACAGCAGGTCAGGGGAGAATGTTTGGGACCACCAAAAAATATGCAAACCTTTTTTTATCACTTTTTTCAATAAGATACTAAAAAAAAAATTTTTATTTTTTTAATAATGTCTTTAAAATCAGTTAAATTTTATTTTTTTAATAATGTCTTTAAAAAGGGGGTTTATCATCCAAAAAACCCAGGATCTCATATTAAACATGTGTAAATTCTGTTGTGAAGAAACGCTTGCTTTTTGAATTGTCTCAGTGGAACTTTTTGTTCAAGTTATGGCACAGATAATGGTTCTCCTCAGAAGGTCGAGTGTTTCGATTCGTTTGTCAATTAAATTTAATTCCAAACTGATCAAAGAACAGGTTAGATAATAAATAATCCGAGTGACACCAGGGTTTGAATAACGGCTTAATCTTTGGGAATACACTGTGTAACTCACAGGCAGAAATCCTGTGTCTAGATGTGCTTTATTGTTCATTTTCCTCTTAATAAGACTTGAGTTTACAACACTGAAAATGATTCAAGTAGCCTCTCCAAGAGGACGTTTTTACTCTCTTTGATTATTATTGCGTCTTTTTCTGACATTTTTACTTGGAACTAACTTGCTGTTAGCAAACTCACGTAACTGTATTCCAAACTCACTCATTCCAACATGGCAGCTGTGCAGATGTCCCATTACTGTCACCAGGCTGGAATTGATGGTAGATTCAGTTTCAGATGAGATGAGGTTCGTGACCACAGGTCTGATCCTCTCTGCTGTTGCAGTTCAACAACACATACCCTTAGCTGTAAGTACAGACTGCAGGCGTCCTGTTTGCCATCACTGAGAAATAATCATCCATTCTATAGCATCACAGAAGAGCTGTTTGCGTCCCCAGAGCTGCTGCCTGTCTGTCCGCCTGCCTGCGTGGGAGGAAACCTCTCATCTTCACAGCTCCGTCTACTGTACGTACGAAGCTTTGGAGTTGCTTTCTGCCTCATCAGATTGCTGTATAAGCAGAGCAGTGGTACAGTGGGGAGAGAGAGGGTGTGATTTCATCCCACAGCATCACAAGTACATGGCATCCACACTCACTGCACCGACTGATTCACAGACATGTCCAGCAGCTGGAAGGGTCACGTCGGTGGCAGGGGGTCGCCGGTGCAGGTGTTGGACTGAAATCAGTGGTTTGGCTGGGAGAATCTGCTGGATCACACGTCGTCGTGTGATCCAGCACGTTTAGGATTTTTACTCTTTAAACTTTTTTCAAATGTGTCATATGGTAAAGACTTTATTATTATATTACTTTTATTAAATAATACTGTTATAGTCAATCTGTGGTTCCTCACTTTTCTTTATTGTTTACTGACATATATTATATTACTGTATATTTACATATATTGTGACACAATTCAGCACCAAAAATTTTTGCTGTCAATTTTTTAATTTGTTTTAAAAAAAAAATAGTTTGGCCCGAGTCTTAGTCCAAGTTTTTATTTTGGTCCACTGTGAATTTGAGTTTGACACCACTGACCTAGTAGATATAATTTGCCAAAACCACAAAAATGTTATTTTACCTTTCAAATCCCAGAACAATTACAGCATAAAGTACAATTACAGTACAGCTCTACTATTTACTGTAGTATTGTTTTGACCAGTTGGAAAAAATTTTGGACCAAATTTCATTTTTTATTTTTTTTATTTTTCAAGTTTTTCTGTATAAGACATTCAATGCAAGCAACAATTTACAAACAGCCTTGAGAGCCTCATGTGGCCTGGGAGCCAGAGCTTTCAAACCATTGTCCTTTGTCAACATTTTTAATACATTTTGCTTGTTTTTTTTTATTATTATTATTCTCCAGAAGGGTAAGCTATTTAAAAAAAACAATACTGTCTGATATGCTTTACTTCTCCTGTTGACTACTTCAGCTCGTATTCTAGTATATTAATAAGATGCTGACCTCCCAGAGTGAGTTAATGAATGACCTCTGTGACCTCATGTGCAGTCAGCTCCCCCTCTTCAGGGGTCAACACCACAGCTGATCAACACGTCACTGGGCTCACGTTTGAACGATGGCTGCCTTTCTTCATATAACGTGTGGCTGTCAGTCTTGCCAAGGACACATTGGCACAGAGCTGAAATGGAACCTCTGACCTGCTGAATGAAGAACGATCCTCCTCCAGCCGTTAGGCTGTGGACGGCCCCTGGCAAATGTACTTAATGTAATGGTGGTAATTCACCAGAGACGTAATTAGAAGGCAGCGCTTCACTCACAGCTCACTTACTGCTCTTTATGAAATGTGAGTGTGAGACAATTTACACTTTAATGTCGGCTTCAACTCTGAGGCTGCGACTAATTATTTGTTTGAGGATGAACTCAGACCGTGTGTGTGTGTGTGTGTGTGTTTGTGAATGTTTGCTCGTCTGTCTGCACCATTACTGTATGGTTGCATCATTCTCAGTGGGATTATGAAACTGTGGGAAATTAGAGAGAGAGGTGTGAGACAAAGAAGGGAACGAGGCCGAGGAAAACAATTTGAGATGTAAACAACCTCCCCGATTATTTTTCTCTTTATTTCTAGGGGGACAAAACAGCAACAACAAAAACAACTAAAACAACTGAAGTAGACTAAATAAAGCCATCTTGAAATAGGTTAATTTGTCCATTGATAATATTTCTCTTTAACTGATTGTGGACCTTCAGTGGCCCACATTTGGTGTTACCGTTTGAACATCCCACATGTGGATCAAATGTTAGCTAATCTTGAAGAATAGAGTATTTAATCTTTTTTGGTAAAATTATTTCATTTCAATATAGGGGCGTGTGTACAAGCCTTAAAATATATTTGCAAACTCAAGGCCCGGGGGCCAAATGCGGCCCGCCAAGCCGTTTTGTGTGGCCGGTGGGACACAGCAATAAACTGCTGTGATGTCAAATCAACCAAAAGTTTTACGATAGTTGGACAGAGCGTTTGGGTAGGGCCACTGAGGTGGTGACTTATGGCGCCATCTGCTGGAGGGTGATGTTCAAGGGACCCCAAGTTTGAAAAACACTGCTGTAAACCCTCTGAAAAAAAAAGAAAACTATAATGGTAATCAATACCTGGATCCACGCCATAATTTAGGGCACCTACTGAGGGTCACAGCCCAACTGTCGTAGAACCAGATTTTAGATTTTTTTTTTCCTGTTTACTGAGCAATTATTGCAAAAAACCAACACAATTATTCATTGAATTATGAACTTTATTTTCTTAAAGGGACTAGAAGCGTTTACTCTTGTGGCCTCTACTAATTTTTCCTCATTTTACAAATGGACCTCCCTGCACTCTCATGCAGAACGGCTCCACTCTCCGTTGCCAGTTGTGTTGTTTATAGACTGCTGACGAAGTGTTCCCTTTACATCATGAGGCTGAATCATGTTATGATTAATTTTCAGAATTGTGCTCCAGGGCACACGTAATAAAAACAGACCATACAACACAGGGCTCTTACATTTGCAGCCTTGCAGTTTTGTTTATGCCATCAACTGTCACAACAACAACTAAAAGGAACACAGTTAACACCCACCGACATTTTAAAAAATACAGCAGAGGGTAAAAAAACCCAAACCCGAATGGTTTGCGGTGAACTGTGAACGTCCTCCGTCTTTTTGGATCAAATGTGAAAAGTGAAAACAAACTGACATTTAAAGCCACTGCTGCGTGCTAACCATTTCAAATTCACTTTTGCTACTTAAGTGACAAAGTAACACACTCTACTATATCATAATGTTGTCTCACAGTATTAGTGAAGATAAAACACAGTTAAAATCACAGTCAAAAATTAATATGTTCATTAATTATGACATTGAAAAAAAGCTGAAAAACTGAGAGTGAGTTAATT